GCAAGCCTGAATTTAGGCTCGAGCCAAAATTTATACGGATCGAACGAGAGCTGCGATTCGTGCTAGGGCCAAGTTCGCCCATAATCACCACTCATGGTCTGCCTCACTCACGCTCAGACTCACGCAAACTCTGAATACTCACTAAGAGACCGACTCATACTCGTTCTCACCCATACTCAGACCACGCGAAACAGTAACCATACAGAGCATGTGCCTAAACTGTGAAATAGGCCAGGGGTGTGACACGGGCCAACTCCGAGCAAGAGGAGGGGGGGCATGAGGTGGAGATGGGGCAGCAGCTGGATGAGGAGGTAGGGAATGAGGAGAGGCAGAGGAGGAGGGCAAAGGCATGACGGAAGAAGGGGGGGGGATGGGGATCATTTCGGGGATGAACAAGGGTCAGGGCCGCATCTCAGAAGTTCCCGTCTAGGTATTGTCGTTGAGAATCCAGCCTGCTCTCCAGCCGACCTTCCAAGGTGGCCCCGCTTTCCTCTCCATCGTTTCGTTTCCTTCCCTCCTGCTAGTCCTTCCCTCCCCCTCTACGTCATCGTCGTCGCGATCTTGATTAGTTGCTGATCGTCTTCACTGGTTTTTCATGACCATCCTCACCCTCATCCCTGCATCTCCTTGTCCCCCTGGCCGCTCGCATCCTCCCCCCGCCTCTCATTCATCCTACTCCTTTCCCTCGTACTCATTGGCCACTGTCTCCTGCCGTCGCGGCTCGGGCCTGGAACTTGCTCGCAAACCCGGCATCTTCATCGACGGGCGCTTCAGCCGCCGCCGCCTGGGAAGGGGGCGGCGCGGGCGGATGGGCGTGGAGCGTGAGAAGGAAGCGAGGGGATTGAGAATTAGCAGACGGGGGATTCAGTTGGAAGGGGAGCAGAGATTGGCGAGGGGATTCAGTTGGAAGGGGAGCAGAGATTGGCGAGGGAAAAAAAAAAAACTAAAAAAATAAAAAAGAAAAAATAACAAAAAAACATAAAAAAAACATAAAAAAGAATAAAAAAAAAAAAAGGGGATTCAGTTGGAAGGGAACGGGTGAATCTGGACAATGCGGTATAGGATGTGGAAAGGGTGAGCCTGCAGAACTCCCACTCGAGGCTGATACATACCCTCGTATTTCCGCTTGTCCTCCCTCCTGCTGCTGCTCCTCGTTATTGCCCTGTCCTCATTCCCCTCTCCCCTCCTCCTCCTCCTCCTCCTCCCCCTCCTCCTCCTCCTCCTCCTCCTCCTCTTCCTCCTCCCCCTCCTCCTCCTCCTCCTTCCCATCATCATCCACTTTACCATTGCCACCATCATCATGGTCATAATAACCACCACCACCACCATCACCATCGCCGACACCATCAACATCATCGTCACCATCGTCACCATCATAAGCCAGCCTCGACATCGTCGAAACCATCGTGGTCCTAGCAAGTCCTGCCATTACCATCCTCACCTCATCCTCCTCCGTTCCACCGTCGTTCCTCTTAGTTTTTACCCTCATGATCCTGATCGCCCCCCTATCCCAGCCTCGGCCAGAGCTCCAGTGCTCGCTGTGACCGTCTCCGCCTCCGAGGGCGCGGGCGATCCGGGGGCGGCAGGGACCAGCTGGCTGCCGCCCTGGGGAGCGGGGCAAGGCGAAAGCAGCAGCTGAGGAGGAGGAGGAGGAGGAGGAGGAGGAGGAGGAGGAGGAGGGAGGAGGAGGCGGAGGAGGAGGGGGGAGGAGAGGAGGGGGAGAGGAGGGGGAGAAGGAGGAGGATAGGAATGGAGGAGGGACGAGGCGTGTCCTCAGCCTCGCGCAGCGGCGTGTCCAGCTGGATAGGGGGCAGCTCGCGAACCTGGCTGGCCCGTCGGGTCTCCCTCGTCATCCTGCTCGATCTTCCAGACTCATCGTCTTCCTCATGCTCTCATCGCTTTCTCCGTCTCCCGCTCATCCTCCCTCTCCTCTCGCATGCATTGTGTCTCCTCTCTCCTCTGCCCTCCATCCTCTCTCCTCCTATTCCTCCTATCCTCTCGCTTCTCTCGTCTACCCTCCCTCACCCCTCGTCTCTCCAAAGTCGCCCCTCCTCCCTCCTCCCTCCTCTCCGCGGGAACCGCCCACGCGTCAGCGCCAACCGCGTCGATCGCGTCGTTGGGCCTTGCGGCGCTGCGCACCTGGGCCGAGGGGGGGATAGATAAAGGCGAAGGCCCAGAAACGTGGGAGTGGTGGACGTGGGAACGAGGAAGAGGAGGATGATGAGGAGGAATAGGCGGAAGAAGGAGGAGTCGGATGAGTTTTATAGGGAATGAAGGAGCAGGAGGGTGAACAGCAACAGTATTGGCGAGGAGGGACGTGAGGATTTTTTGGAATTGGATAGGAGGAAGATGAGAACCACGGGGATGAGGAGGAGCAGGAGGCGGCGACAACGGATGAAGGGGAGGACAACGGCGAGGAGGAAGGGAGTTAACAAATGCTGCTCCTGTTGCTGCTCCCGCTGCTGATGTTGCTTCTACTCCTCCCGTTTTTCCTTGTCCTCCTCCTCCTCCTCCTCCTCCTCCTCCTCCTCCTACGTCCTCCTCCTACGTCCTTCTCCCTTGTCGTTCCCCAGTCGAGCCTGCCGCGGCTGCCGCGTCTCGCTCGCCATCGCCGCGAGCCCTCGCCCGACCTGATGGCCCCGCTCGAACCACGCGACTCGGAGCGGGCAAAGGCGGGAGAACAACACAGAGGCAACCTCGTTCCATCCCTTCCCCTATCCCTCCTCCTCCTCCTCCTCTCCCTTCCCCTCCTCCTCCACCTCCTCCACTCCTCCTCTCCATGCAACAGCCAGCTTCGCACAGCTTCGCGCGCGCGGATTCAGGTAGCTCGGGTGACGGACGGTTTGGCCAATTGGAAAATAGAAAATCTAGAAAATGTTTCCTAATTTCTGTCAGTAAATTTTCTGTGATTTTTTGTTTCTATTTCCCGCGGGCGTTTTCAGGTTTTTCTTAAACATAGAAAAAAAAGAACCTCAGGGTACCTGCGGCTGCAGCGCCGGCTAAAACGCTCGTCGGCCCCGGCGGGGTGTCCGCGGCTGGAGCGTCGCGCAAAAGTGCCTACTCGCCCGCCTTTCGCTCGGCTATCCCGCGGATGGCATGGGCGTCGTTCGGATGCGCGTGCGACGCCATCTCCAAGGTCACTTGGAGTGACTCATGCTTGCCGATCATCCTCCGCGGTGATCCAAGGGCCGATTGCTGCGAGGGTGCAGATCCTACGGCCCGCCGCTCGTCGCAGTCAGTCTCCCACATCCTAAACGCGTGCTGCAGTTTGGTCTGGTCGCCGACCGGTTCGGGGCCAGCGCGCAGTGCGCGTCGTTCAGGGCCGACGCGCGCGCGGCACTGGGCGCCAGGGCGGCCCGGCAAGATCCGCCAGCATCGATGCGCCGTCGGCGCGGTCTTCGTCGGAGCAAAGGCATAGCTTCTCGTCCTCGAGCCAGCGCAGCTGGAATCGCTGGAAGGCCAACGCCTTGTCTGCTTTGGTGTAGGCCAGGCTATCGCGCGCCGGCGACGCGCCCAGACCCGAGTCTCCGAGGGCCAGACGCACCGCATCAGCAACGCCTTCGCTCTGCAGGCCGCGCCGGCGAGCTCGGCGCTAGCCCGCGCGCGCCGCGACGTGACCAGCGGAGGGTCCGGAGACCCTTTGGCAGGGTGCGCGGAGACAGCCTCGATGATAACACTCTAGTTGCAAGGGGTGGCAGGCGCCCGGGCCAGCGGGCGGTGTGCGCGCAGGTACATACGAACGAAAATATATCACAACGCCACGCTGCGTCTCGAAACAACTATCAAAACGCTTGGTTGGACACGCCAGGACCACTTCCTATCGATAAATGTATGATTTTCCACGCGCGGGATGAAGCTTCTGACAACATGGCGATATGATCGCATGCAGGGTAAACCTCATTCTCAAAAAGTGTACAAAAGCGGTGGCTGGCGGAAGAGGTGCAGCAGCACAATGTGTAGACTCGCTTGGCATCGGGGCGATGACGTACATCATCATCATCATCACCATCACCACCACCATCGCCATCGCCATGATCATCCTCACCATCATCACCATCATCATCCTCGTCCTCATCATCATCATCATTATCCTCCTCCTTCTCCTCCTCCCTCCACAACTACACGGAAAAATTGGTAGAGGGCGGGGGCAAGAGTCCCCAAGCTTGCGGATGGAGCGCTGTTTCTATCGACGCCGCAGCGCCAACGCCAGTCGCCAGGAAACTCCCAGCGCATGTACCTATACGAGGTTGTCCGAGAAGCCCAGCGCGGTCCACAGGATCACCCCAAAAATATCACAGATATCCCAGCGGAGATTCAGACCTCCACTCCCGCATGTCAACGTGGAGCGTGCACGGCGAATGGCAGTGGGCGCCGGCGGAATGCGGGGGGGCCCTGGAGGGGGGCGGGCACGAGAGGAGGCAGGGCAACTGGGTTGGGGGAGAAGGCGATGAGGGAGGCAGGTTGGAGCAGGAACGAGAGGAGGAATGGGAATGACAATATGTGGGGATGCTGCTGGATGTTATTTCGAATTCATTGTCACCCTGCTCCTCGTCCTCGTCAGCCTCATTCCCACCTCGGCCTCCTTACCTATATGTCCCTCACCCTTCTGCCCCTCCTCCTGGTCAGCCTTCTCCTTCTCCTCACCGACCTTCGTCGCTCCTCGCCCTCGCCCTGCGCTAAAGCGGCCCCTTTTCCCAGGGGCATCCTCGTCGTCCTCATCCGCCTCGCCCCATCTTCCCCGCTGAGGCCAAATCGAAGATGCAAATGCGACTGAGAACTTGCTTTTCTTTTCGACCAAAAGGCCGATCGGCAAAGTGTCAAGCGTCGCGCAAGCGCACCCCACGATTACCACGTGGGCCCATTCTCGTGCACACACTCGCACGCGCCATCCCACCCCACGCATCGTGATCTTCCATGCTGCCCGATGCCCCATCCTTTTCATCCTCCGTCCACCCCCCTTACTACAAGCGCGCTCACAGTGCCCCTCCCCGTGAGCTTATCTAAGCTGGGATGCTCTGGAGGTATTTCTGCCAGAGACCATAGCGCGCGCCGCGCAGTGCTGGGAAGGCGTCCAGCAGCGCGGAAGACACAGCGCGGACCTGATCTGTCTCAGACTCCGACTTCGGAGGCAAAGCCCACTTCAGGCCAGCCGTGCGCTCTGGCGACGAAACCGACAAAATGAACCCTGCTGGCAAGCACACAATGTCACCAGGCTTGCACACGCAAAGGAAAATCTGCCTTGCCTGCAAGCTCACTGCCTGAGAAATTAGAGATCTTACTTATCTGAGCCGAAATGGGATTAGACGCATTGAACTTGACACCGACTATGACAAGGAACCCAGACAACACCACGCGGACCTCCGCCAAACCGTGCGCTGCAGGTGCCACATTAAGATATCCCTCGCAGTGGGACCAATGGCTCATGTCAAACAGTGCGGTGATCATATCATTGTACTCCTTATCGTGGAACACTGGGCGCTGAAACAGATCTAGCTTCATCGGGGTCGTGTCCTTCAGCGTGGTCCTCAAGAACTTGGTGACGGACGGGTTGCTGATCACGGCAGTCGTGCTTGGCTTCGAGCTCTTCTGCGCCAGATCGGCGAACCACGTGAGGAAGCTCTGGAAGCTCTTGTTGTCATCGATATTATTGACCGTCTGCTCGCTGGTGGTGTACTTCACGCAACCCTCCGAGTCCCTGAACTTGGCGGTCGCCTCGAGAAGGCCGCTGTCCTTCCGCTCATGAGACACCCACACTGTGTTGTACATGTAGGACATGGCCGTGCCAGCACCGCCCTGGTTCACCACCTCGGCAGAGACGTTCATCTTCGCCCTCGCATTCTCAGCTTTCGATGCCTTCATGGCCCCGTTGTGGTGCTTCTGGACCAACTGGCGAATGGCTGTGAGACGCTTCCTAAGCGACGCCACCTGGCCTTGGGGGCCCAGGAACTCCTCGCGCATCGTGGCGAAAGCCCCTTTGGCGTCGGCGAGGTTGATAGGGGAATCGCTGCGCATCTCAGCGCTGACCTCCGCCAGGTGATCGCTGAGCTTCTTGATCAAGATCATCCTGGCATCGTCCATGTCCTGGGGGGGGCGGGCATCGGCATCGGCAGCATCAGCAGGAGGACAGCCAGGAGGGGGAGAGCAAAGACGACTCGAGGGTGGAGCGGGAGGGCGACGAGGGCGAGGACGAGGCCCAATGACCTTGGAAGCCGCGGTGACCGCATCCAAGGCGAGCTTGAAGTCGGCGGGCATCTCAGCGCCCTTGAACATCACGTCCTTCGCGTGGTCAACAATGCTCTCGCACTCAGGGCCGGCGCCGTCTGCCGCGATGCCCAGCTTCGACGCCCACTTGCGGTGCTCGATCTCGAGGTCGTAGATGTTGAGATCCTGATTCTGGGCCGAGCTGCTCTCATGAGCGGGCGCGTCGAACTTGTCAGCCTCCACGAGCTCCTCCATGTGCAGTGCCTCGAGCTCTTTCTGCGCCCTCTCCTGAGCGGCGAACCGATCGGTAATCGCCGCGATGCCAGCCTCGGAAGAGCCCAAGCGGTCGTCGACCTCCATGATGTTGGAGACGCACTGCGGGGCGATGGCAGGGCCCGCGGACGAGGAAGATGATGCAAGAACGACCGATGGGCCGTTGGCGGACCGCTCCTGGGTGGCCCGAAGATGCACACTGGTGGCCATCGCTGTCGCCTCGGCCAGCTCATCCGAGCCCTCGGTCATAGTAGTGCTACGGACGCCAACTTCGGAGAAGGAGCCCTGGACGTCGTCGTCGACTATGCCAATATACTCGCCGATGTGCCACTCGTTGCCGAACTTATGTGTGATATCTGCGTTAAGCAAGGCCTTCCGCCAGTTGGTGATAAGATCCCTCTCGCCAAGCTCGGGGCGCTGCTTGAGCTCATCCTTCTTCCACACGCTGAACGGCTTCCAAAGGACCCTCCTCCTCTTCTCTGCGCCGCTGACGTTCCGCTCCTGCTGAACCACCTCGACCTGGAAGGTCCTCTTCTGCCCGCGGCTGCCACCTGATTTTTCTGCATTCCGCCTGTGCGTCCTATAGGCGACAGGCTGTCGTGCCAGGGCTTGAGCTTGGAATCTTGTTTTCCAACGCTTCGCAAGGCTCTTGTGCGTGTTGTTGCAGATCAGCTCAACGGGGTTGTTCGGGATCCTCACGCAAGTCTTGCGCGCGCCAGACGCAGTAAGTTTTTGATTGGGCACTCCTCATCGCACTTGACACACACGAAGGTCTGCGGCAAGCCACTTGAGTCCTGATCCAGAGCCTCTGAGCCAAAGATACCCACACCAAGAGCCGAAGCATACTCCTCGGGCGATTGCGCGGGGGTTGGTGCCTCAGCCAACGGCGCTGCGACCGCCAGCGGCGTGCTTGGGGCCGCCGCGTCGGCCATGGAGTCGGCAGCGAAAAGCCGGGGCTGCAAGTGGCAGTGTCGCGCTGCGGTAGCTTCGAAAACCTGGAGGCCGAAACACTCGGGGGGACGCAATGCGACGATGAGGGGGGGAGGACGACGAAGGGGAGGGACACGTTAAGGGTGAGGAAGGGAAGGGAGTGACGACGATGGTGAACTGCACTTGTTTCCAAGAGCACGTTGTTTCCTAGAAAAAAAAAAAAAAAAAAAAAAAAAAAAAAAAAAAAAAAAGAAATGAAAAAAAAGAAAGAAAAAAAAGACAAAAAAAAAAAAAAAAAAAAAAAAAAAAGAAAAAAAAAAAAAAAAAAAAATGAAAAAAAAAAAAAAAAAAAAAAAAAAAAAAAAGAAAAAAAAAAAAAAAAAACAAAAAAGAAGAAAAAAAAAAAAAAAAAAAAAAAAAAAAAATAAAAAAGAAAAAAAAAAAAAAAAGAACCATGCAGCGCCCAAAAAAAGAAAAACCAAAAAGAACAAAAAAAAAACCCCTCTCAAAAACCCAGAATTACAAGGACGGAGCCGCAACGCATAACACCCCGAAGCAAGCTGCGCTGCCTGACCAATGAGAAGCGGCAATCAGCAGTTCAGAATCCCGAAAAGCGAAATGCGACCTCGAGAACTCGCAGTGATTGGCCCGTGCCCACACCCTCTGAATAATCCCGAGACGTTCGGGATAAGGCACAATCGACAGATTGCTACTGAGCGGCCTGAAGCCACCCAACGGCGGCATGGCCCGAAGAACCAAGTCCACATCCTGCTGCCTCCCTCCTCGCCCTCATCGCCCCCCCAGCTCTCCATCCCCTCCCGCTCCACTCGCCCTCCGATAGCTAGCCCCCCATCCCCCCCCCCCGTCGTCGCGCCCCCGAGCCCTCTCATGGCAGGAACATCGAAGTTCAGTCTCCGCGAACGGTGATGCTGAACCAGGGATACTTCTCCACATCGCATAAGGGTGGAACCCAGAGCCCGTGCATGGCGGCAGGCGAGTGCACGAGCACGACGCCCCCCAATATTGAATACACCTTCTCCTCGATAATGTACTTTACCTGGGAAGCCGCCGGCGTCCTAGGCAAGGGCCCAAGGGATTGGCTTATCGCGGGTGAAGGGAGGCTGATGACAACGACAGGCGTAGGCGATGAGGACGAAGACGGGAATGGGGACAATATGATTATATAGAGAGAATGGGAACGGATTTGCCCCGACAGTTTTTGCCATCATGAGTTCTGTGCTCAGGGCGAGTCGTTCGGGCCCCTCAGCTTTCGGTCGGCCGAGAGCTGAGAGGCCCGAACGACTCACCTCCGAACGAAACACTCATGTTGCCAAAAACTGTCGGGGCAAATCCGCCCTGCCTGCGAGAATGAAAAATGCAGCGGCCCCACGATGCTGGCACCGGACCACGATGGCCCACTTCGCGAGGAAAACCCACATCTTGAGGCAGCAGGAGTTGCACGCCTCACAGCCGCACTCGCGGCACCTGTTGCACTTCGTAGCGCGCGGTTCTTTTTCCGCCCACGGCCCCGAACGAACCACTGGCGCAGGAAAGTGTTGCTGGTCGGCATTACCGATGAAGGGGGGAGGACGAGCGAGCGTACGCGAGCAATACAGACGGTGACCAACCCAAACAATCCTTTGGAACGTTCTCGGGGCTCTCTTGGGCCCCTCCAGGGGCCCTGGGAAGAATCCAAGAGGTCACCGAGAAGGCTCCAAGAGGCTCCAAGAGGGTCCCAACAAGAGGGCTCCAAGAAGGCAAGGTGGCTGAAATTATTTTCAGCCACTTTGCCTCCTGGCGCCTCCTGGGGCCTCCCCTCTTGGGGGCCCTCTTGGAACCGTCTCGGGGCTTTCTTGGGCCCCCCCAGCGGCCCTGGGGAGGTCCCAGGGGGCCCCGAGAGGATTCCAAGAAGCTCCCAGAGGGCCTCAAGAGGTCCTCAAGAGGGGAGGCCCCAGGAGGCAAAGTGGCTGAACAAAATTTCAGCCATTTTGCCTTCTTGGAGCCCTCTGGTTGTTGCCCTCTTGGGCCCTTCCGAAGGCCCTGGGAAAGATCCAAGAGGCTCCAGGAGGGCCTCAAGAGGGCCCCAAGATCGGCCCCAAGAGGGCCTCAAGCGACATTGCCATGACAGCAACAGCGGCATTGCCATGACAACAGCGGCACTGCCATGGCAAGTGCAACAGCGGCGACAATCTTCCGATGCATAGCGCCGTACTGCAACAGTGGCATTGCCATGGCTAGATCAAGCAAAGGGCTCAACAACAAGCGAAGACAGAGGGCACCTGGCTGCACCACACTGGAGTAAGACTCGCCGCACTGGACGAGAAGCTTCGTCCCCTCCGTCATGGCGCCCTCGGGCTGCGGCAGCAGCACCTGGGGGTCGTTCACGATGTTCGCCATGTAGACCTTGGCCTGCTGCACGACCTAGCGGGCAAGTAAATCAAAACAATTGGAGTGTGCGGCGTGCAAATGGGATGCGAGCATCGAGCTCATTTTGCAACATGCAGACCAAACGCAACGCTGACATGAGCTACAACTGACACGGCACGTGGAAGCACGGAGCCTGCGGTCACATGGGGGCGGGAGGGAGACAGAAAAAGGCGGCATGAGAGCCTGGGTCTCGTGAAGCTTGGCGATCAGATCCCTGACCTTCCAGCGACTTTTGCCGCTGCAACCTGGGGGCCGCATCCAGAGGGGGATGCGAGGGGGAGAAGGCGACGGTGGCTCCATTTGGAGACGAGGGCAGGAATCCCCTCACCAACAGGCGGCAAAGAGGACGGCGAGGAGGTGGAGACAATGGAGGGGCGGACGTTCAGGTGTAAGCCACACCAGGGAGGGGAAGGCCACATAATGTTGTCTTTTTTTCGAATGGGACGAAATTCAAATAATTATTAAGGTAGCTGCAGGCAGCAGAGGATGGCGAGGAGGAGGAGGCAACGCAGGAGGATGGCGAGGAGGAGGAGGCAGCGGAGAGGGGAAGGGGCTGAGGACGAAATGATTTGCAACCCCTACGCGGCCACCTCCAGGGCCAAACCACTGGTTTGTCCCGAAACTCCAACCGAAGTCCCACCGCGGACCATAGTTGAACATCTCCTGACGAAAGCCTGGAGCCGATTGGTACGACTGCTTCACGTGCCTCAATACTCCACGCGCCTCCTCCCGAACAGCAGCGGCTAAACCCTGCGCAATGCACTGGGCGGGCTTCTTCTCCGATGTCAGCCCCAACCATTTGGGCTCGCGGGGAAGCGCTGACGACGAGCAAATGCACTGATCGAAATGTTGTTGATAATCAGCCTTCACGACGTGTCCGCCGCAAAGTGCGCAAAACATCTCACCCTTTCCCTTGTCGTATCCAGCAGGCTTGTCGCACGGGCCCCGGCCCGCCATGCTGGTAGATGCTGGCAAAGACGGGCGGGGCGTTCGACGGGCGGGGCTGAACTGGTGCAACTGGGAACCTGCGAGCCGAATGCCCACCAATCTCAACGTCAAAAGATTGCAGAAACAGGGATCGGAAAGTGAGGCAGGTCGACTGGTTTCGACGCGCGCACATCCGCAAATGCCACATAACGTTTTCGAATCGCAAGCAAAGCTCGAGCAGTTGGCGACCCCCACCAGCCCGAGTGAATCGCACGCTTCCGGCTCAAATCGCACCTGAATCGCACCTGAATCGCACCTGGCCTGGCCTGGCGATTTGATGTGAATCGCATCTTCCGCACCTGAATCGCACCAGAATCGCACCAGGATCGCTAGTGGGCTCGTGCACAGGAAGCCATGGGGGCCCTCGGGCGGATGGAGCGCCAAGTGCAAGCACATGACAGCCGCCGAATCTTAAAATCGACTTAAGAGGGCCCCGCGAGGCTCCAGGAAGCCCCCAAGAACGCCCCAAGACGGCCCAGATGAGCCCAAGATGACCGAATCTAGCCTCAAAGAGCCTACAGAGGGCCCAAGAGGCCGTGTTGTAGTGTTTCAGGATTACCTGACAGATTGAGAACCTTTCGAATATAAAACTTTTGTTTGCTACCTCAAAGGGTCAAGATTATGCACCTGGGCGCTCCTATCGGAGCGAGCGCACACGCTCGCCCACCGCCTCCCTCCCCCTCCTCCACCCACCCCGACCACGCAGTCAATCTCAGCGTACCTCCCTGGCAAGAGCATCGACATCAGCTGCTGGCGTTACATATCCTTTGTGATCCTCCTCATCGCCAATGGCTGGGCCAACATCCCACCACAACTTAATCCACGCAGCACAGTGCTGCCAGCTTGGATTGAGATCCACCTGGCAGCGCATATTTTCACATACTGTGCCACTGCTGCAACCGCCCCCCCCTCCCACCAGCATCGAAATGCCTGCTGATCTGCTGAACTTGCCGCCGCCGGCCCCCATGCAACCCCGGCCCCCGCTGGAAACAAAAAAAAAACTGTTCCAGTCAGCGCGAGGCATGCCAGGGCCGAGCAAGGGAGTTGGCAGGACTTGATTCAAGGGATCAGCGATACAAAAGAGGTGGGGCGAATAAAAACATGAACGCATGAGTGGCGCCCCCGTCCACCTGCCTGTACTTGAAACACTTGACGTGGTCAGCATTCTGACACGT